AAAAAAATAAAAAATAAAAGAAAGACAAAATAAATAAGAACAATAATTTACATAAACCGTGTATTAAACAGTGTGAAAGAGTGATTTAAAGTATAACTAGATTTCTTAAACTAATGATTCTGAACCCTGAATTTATTCTCTTATCTTTTTAAATATAGAAAGTTAAATTCTATTTGAAAAGTAAATCAACAGTTCATTAATATTTTTGGCATCTAATTCTTTGGCTAAGTTAGAAAATAAAGCCATATTGAAAGTTAGCTATTGAGGTGAAATATAATCCATTAGTTTGATTTATTCTCTTAATTAAACTTGCTTTTGAAAGAGTTAGCTGTGAGTTTTATTTTACTTTAATATTGCATTTGCATTATTTCACACCCATATTTAGGCTCCATTCTTATAGCATAAATGTTAATGGTTAAATTAATATAATTCATATTCTGGGTCAAAACTGCAATAATAAAGCTGTCTCATATATTACATTTTGTAAAGGAATTTAGAGGTCCTTAATTCTAACTTCATGCTATTTTTTTAATCCCTTCCTTACAACTTTTAAAATATTTCCCCAAATTAGTGCTGACCTTGTATTTCTGGTATAGATTTGTTGGAGTTTGGACTCAACAAACGCTGTCTATCATTTTTACAGCATTTTGAATGTTTGCAAATAATTTAGATCATAGTAGTGTTATAAACTTTTTTTGAATTCCTTCAGATACTTTCTCTTTAAAGCCCAATTCAGGAGGTCTAGAAATTGAGTAGCTATCACCATATAATCTTTGAGTAGCTAGCAATTTGAACAGATAACTGATTTATTATATTGGACTTATAATTTCATGTGCTTTAGAATGAGGACATTCCATGAAATTTTTTGAACCATATTTAAATTGTATTTACTTTTTAATCTAACGAGAGCATTCATTCTTTTTTCCAGACTTTATTATAGTACTTGGTCTAGATACTGTGCCAGATATTTAAAAATATGAATAGGTGATATTTATATAGCATCCTACAAAATGTCATCCCGGGATTTAAACCAATGTGAGTTAACATCATGAAAATGCTAAAGATGTTTCAGGTAAAAAGAAACTACCACTTTCAAGGAAGGTATGGTAGGCTCCTGGTGAATTTAGGAAATGTAGCCTTCTACATTTACATTTGACAGAGAGTGTTTTCAGTTCCAAATTTCATAATCCAGAATTTGCCATCTGTGTTAATTTATGACATTGAAGAATTTTGTTTTCCTTTTCTAAAAAAAGTCTTGCTATATTTTCAACTAGACTCAAAAATACACAAATAATAAGTAAATAAAAAACTGAATGAATGGATGGATGGATTGGCTAAAGCTAACTAGTACATTAGTAATAAAACTAAATGCTGTATCTAGCCTAGTGATTCTTCTTTAACTTACAAAGTATTTCAATACAATGCTCTCTGGTTGGGCGAACATGGAATGAGATAGTTTATTATTCCTGCAAGGATGGAATTCATCTGCCACTGTGAATGTAAAGAACTAAACAGCAGAAGAGAGGACTAGAGAAGTTATAGACAAACTGAAGCACTGATAGGATACTCAAAGTTAAATTATTTTGAATCTAACATTATCTGAAGGACTCCCTCGTTCATGTTGATACAAAAATGGGTCAGAAAAATACTCAAAAATGTGCTCCGGGATCTGCACATGAAAGATTGAAAGAGTAAAAATAAAGTAGTAGCCGAGGCCTTTAAGTATCTCATTCTTGTGTCTCCCAGAGGCTCAGCATCTTTTAAAGAACGGTTTCTTGACATTTCATGGTGGCAGAAGATAAAATGCTGCTTTCCCAAAGCAAGCACAAGTATTTTTACTGGAAAACAGTGTAACTGTAACCTGGGGTTATGTTCCTTACTTTAAAAACCTTTCTTGGCTTCTGTCTACAAAAATGTTCAAACTGTCAAAGCAATTGTCCTGTTTTTTAAATAAAGTCCCAGGCCAGGGGTTTAGCTCAGTGGCACCATGCCTGCTTTGCAAGTGCAAGGTCCTGAGTTTGATACCTGGCATGGGGAGAAAAAAAAGTCAAGTCCCATTAATTTATTCTTTCTGCCTTTAAAGAACACTTTGACTCTTGGTGGCAAAGCTCTATGTCAGTGCATCTCAAATACTCAGATACTTGAGCACTAACATCATATTCCAATGTACATTATTTCCCCTGCAAAATTTTATTTAACTCTTACTGCAGGTTATTTCTGAATTTTAAACACATTCTTATACTAGTTGCTTGCCTGCGTTTTCCTTGACATTTTTTATTTTCCTATTCTTCCTTTTCAATTTCATACTTGTACTTTTTGTCTAACTATATTGTTTCAAAGTTATAATGAATTACATATAATAAAGATAATACTTGAAAATATTTCAGATACATTTACTTCTGTATATTATAAATATTACAGTTTTAGAGATTTCTTTTACCCACCCTACACTTTCTTTGAAGAAATGACTTTACATTTTTCAATAAGAATAAAACAAGGAAGTCACTTGCAGCTTAGACTGTCAAATGAGTTTTTTTGTTGTTGTTTTTTAATTGTTGGTTTAAAGTGGCAGCAGGTAACACGCTTGAGTATCTGGCCTTGTAGAGAGTGGGATTCTTTAAATTCTTTAGCATATCAGAAATAAGCCTAGTAATCTTAGATAATACAGGTACATTCATAAGTATAGAAATCACCATTTCCCCATGACAAGTAGTGCTGGAGACTTGCAGCATTAGAGTTAAAAGAACAGTGACTGAGAAGTTAGAAAAATTCAAACCTGTCCCATCTTGATTGGAGGGGCACAGAAATGCAAGGCTAAATGACACTAAACTGGTCCAGAATGAGGCACTATATTAAAAACTGCCTGAATGTCAAAAATATAAAATGATTTAAAGCATTATGGTGCTTACAGATGTAATATCTCTTATCCATATGAATCATAGCAACAGCTATCTTTACAGGTAAAATGTAAGCTAAAAATTATGTTTAATAAAAATTATGCAAGAAGTCTTTGTGATTAAATTGTGAACTCAGTGTCAGGCTCAAGGCACCGGGTTGTAACAATTTCTCCCTCTTCAAATAATCAGTTGTCTCTTCAACCTTGCTTCTCAGTATATATTTGTTCTTTATTGACTCTTTCTTAAAAGATTTTCGGTTCATTTATCTATTTGCATACGACTATCGTGGTGGTTCTTTTATAGTGGCCTCAATGTTTAAGTGTTTCTACTTGATTTCCCAGTGTTCCAAGTGAGTACCTGTATCTAAACTCTAACAGTTTTCAACAACCATGGGCTTCATGGCATAAGATCAAACAAGTCATAGAGGTTGTCTGTTTTAGGGACATAGTTAGGACAAGATTTTTATTGTGGGAATATGAGAGATTTTATTTTTCACCATATTTGCAGAAAAAAAGTATTCTGTAGTTTAAACCATTTTAGGAAAGCCTGAGTTAACCAAGATTAAGCAGTTCTCCTTAATGTAGAGCTTCTCAGAAGTTTTTAACGTGTGAATAATTGTTGTAAGTATTAAAACTGGTGATGTGGTACCTCATTTCTTTGCGTACCTGCACTCCACTCTTGAGTGCATCCTCTATCTCTGTCTGAAATCTTTACCTAATAAACCCTTTCTCTTAAGAAAATTAAATACAATTGGTGATGTAATATTCTGAATTAATTTATCTGAAGGTTTATCTTTGTTTTTAAAAGCATCTCCTTCCATGCCTTTGGTATCACACTTTAAAAGTTGATTTGTTTCGGAGAATGATGCTTGAAAGAGGCTCTTCCCATCCTATTGACATGCACATAATACAGACAGTACAAGGTTGTGGGACCACTCTGCTGCAGTCACCTGAACCTAGGCAGCACCCCAGGACCAACCCCCACAACGTTTGTCCTAAGGCCCACTACCTGGAAGCAGAGTAAAAATTATGGAAATTTCCAAAATTCCAAACAAGTTTGCTTGCATGCTAGACCAGCTGATAGGACCTATGAAAACCTTTTTCTTCACTTTGAGCTTGTTAAATAAAGATTCATATATATGGACTGCATCTCATCCATCCAGTTATAACAGTGTGAATTACAGGAAAGGACATGAGCAATAGACACAACTAATATGACTGAGCACCCTGCCAATCATGTTGTCAATCACTCTGAAAGAACCAATTGGAGGCACCCTAGATTCTGGGCAACATTTCAAAGTCTTAAACCCAACATATTCTGTGTGCTTGTGCTATTTCTGTTTTACCCACTGGAGCCTGCTCATTCTGAACATATCTCTCATCCTTTAAATTTCATTAAACTTAGTTGCTTTTTGCTTACCATTGTGTGCTATGTCCAATTCTTTGTCATGCACAAGAAAATAGAAACCTGTCCCAAGACCTCATCACCTATGGTAATACATATATTTGAATGTGAATGTGAATTTGTTAATTCATTTATTCAAAATCTACTCAAGCCTTTTACTATTGCAAGCCCTATGCTGACATAAATAAGAAAACGTCTAAAATTTATGTAGCAAAAGACAGTGTTAATAGTGATTATTTCTGAGGAGCATAATCATGTATAATATTATTCTTTACATTTTTTCCTATTTTTTCTTTTTTATTAATACATGTTTCAGTACATAATGCCCACATTTCATTATGGAGAATTTGTACATCTACATAACACATCTTAATTTTTTTTGTTCCCTTTCATCCCCCCTACCTCCAACCCTTCTTCCCTTTCCCATTTAAATTTATCACCATGTTTTTTCTTCAGTGAAAGATATTATTTAGTGAAAAAATACTAAAATGTTTGAATTAAATCACATTATATGACATAATTTATAGAAAAGAATTTCATTTCTATCACTGGTTATGATACTGGTACATAAGAGGCCACTAGGTAGATACTGTAGGTGTGGTAAAAATACCAACCCCACCAGCTGTGAGGCTTGTAACCATGACGTCATTTAGACTGCTATGCTGTAACAATGCCATCAACTAGGTGACATATAAATAATGAAAACTACTTTTGACAGGTCTGGAGTCTGAACATCCAACTTCAAGGGGCCAATGGATTTGGTGTTTGGTGAGAGCCTGTTTCTAGGTTGACAGACGCTATCTTCTCAAGGTGTGCTCACAAAGTGGAAAGAGAGGGCTTTCAGGGTTCCTTTTTAAGGACACCAAACTCGTTCATGAGGGTTCCACTCTCATGACCTAATCCCCTACCAAAACTCATTTGCCTCATTTTCCTTAATGGGAGATAATAATACCTTCTTTTATTAGGCTGTTGAAAGGAATAAATTTGGTAATAAGTGTGTGGGGGAAATAAATGAAGATCACTCAAATAATAATAAACAAATTATGTTTATTCAGTGTCTACTGTAGCAAGGAAGTCAGACACCATTCTTTGCAATCAGAGATGCAAAAGCATACAAAGAAATATAAATACTTTGAAGTAGAAAAAGAGAAAGACTTTAGGTAAGCCTTAATAAATCCAATCAAAAGTGAGGAGTCTGGGGCTGGAGAGTTCAGTGGGAGAGCACTTGTTCAGAAAATATGGGACTCTGCCTTCAATCTCCAGGATTGGAAAAAGAAGAAAAAAGAGTCCACGTGATTAAGGAAGTACATTTGGTTTTCTCCAGTTAGTTCTAGTTTAGAAGCACAGGTAACAATAAGGGAACCTGTAAGTTATGAATTAAGTCCTGGCTTGGGATAATTCCTACAGAGAATGTGATTCGGTTGCTGAAATGGTTTTTGCAGATTGCGTGTCAAGGTTCTGCTTTAATATATGATCTAGTCAGTTGTATATTCAATCTTTCATATGGGAGCTTTAAATTATACATTATTTTACACTCTGACTAGCTGTAGCAAAATCAATAAATACTTTTTAAAATGTATTCTGCTATTAGGGAATCCTGCTCATTCACTCTGACCCTTAGCTTCTTCCCACAGTATCTACATTTAAATATTATAGTGTCTCAACAAAATATTTTTTGTAAATCAAAATAGAAACATTCTAAGCAAAAAGAGAAAGTCACTCAAGCTAGTTTTATTTTCCCTAGGTATCAGTTTCCCTTTGAATAGGTTTTCATCTTCCTGGAAATAATAAATGATGGCTTTACTTGGAAGTGAAGGAGCTAAATTAAATAAAGCTATTTCTGATAAAACCTAGGCCTTCTTGACAGCCAAAGAACAAATAGTACATGTTACAGGGAAATTCAAGTGACAGTGAGAGACACAGACAGCCTGTCATTACACAACTACCTTTCGTTTCTGGTGTAAGGGGAGAACCCTGTTTAGAAAAACAAACTATTGCAAACACCATATTTTGAGCTCTCTCTATGCTACAATAAAATTTACAAAAAATAAAAGAGTGACAGGACAAATACTGAAGTACTGCCAAATTTTAATAATGTTAAGATTAAACAATCTTAAACTGGGGATTTAGCTCAGCATCACAGTGCCTGCCTGGTAAGTGCAAGGTCCTGAGTTTGATTCATTTTATCTATCTATCGATCGATCAATCTATCTATCTATCAATCATCTATCTCTCTTGACTTAAATTGGTTTTTTTAAATTCTTGCAGTGTATTGTGAACCCTTTTCAAACTTAACAAGCTTCATTACAGCCAAGATGTAATCCCACTCATCAGAATGTAACCATTAATGGCTTCTGTGGGCTTTTGTGTTTGCTCCATCAGAAGAATCAGAGGCACAATAATAAGGAGCAAGGCTCCTTTATTCCTACACTAACTTGGAAGGGAGACACCCAATGGGAAACAGGAATCCAAAACTGACTAAAACAAGAGGACAGAAATGTGTAGTTTTATAGGTAGGCTGGGACTCAGTCTCTTGATACCATCACACACACCCAGAGGTAGAGTTTTAGTTGTACCCAGGCTTTTCCTTGTCATGCCTCTTTATGCAGTGCATATCTTATCATTTTAGCTCTCCACTTGGGGTGTGACTTGTACTATACTAACAATGTAAAAGTAACTGTAGATTACTTTAGTTACTATCTTTGCCCCCTGTCATTGGGGAAAATTACTTCACATTGTTTGAAAATGGGAAAGGTAAGAGTTCTATCTTAGTATATCTGATTGTTAATTGGGTTAACTACTTTTACTTTCTTGGTCCTAAATTTTGATATGCCTGCTCTCCTCTATTAATATTTTAATTGCACCACAACCCTGAAGAGGTTAGGAATTCTCTCATAACCATTAATCAGTATATGTTTTATACTTTATTATAATTCTACACATTTATAGTGAATATGTTGCAGACTATGAGATATTTTCTCTAGATTTTAAAAGATGTAATTAGGCCAGGTGTGGTAGTGCACACCTGTAATCCCAGCACTTGGGAGGCTGAGGCAGGAGGATCGCTGTGAGTTCAAGATCATCCTGGGCTACATAGTGGGTTTCAGGTCAGTTTCAACTACATAGTGAGACCCTGTCTCAGGAGACCAAAAAAAAAACAAGGATGTAATTAAAAAATAAAATTGTATATATTTACAGCATACAATGTTGTGCTTTGATTATGAAGTAATATCCACAATCAACTATTTATCATATATCAGTTATTTTTGTGTGTGCTAAGAATATTCAAACTGTACTCTCTTAGCAAGCTTGAAGTCATTGCTAATATTAACTATTGTAATCACAGTGTACATTAAATATCTTCAATTTATTAATCTTGTTGAAATTTTATACCCTTTGACCAACATCATTCTGTTCATGGTCCCTGACAATCATCATTCTACTCTCTGATTTATTTCAACATTAGTGGATTCCAGATGTAAATGAGATCATATAATATTGATCTTTCTGAGTCTAGCTTTTGTCATTTAATTTAATGGCCTCCAGATTCACATATTGTTACAATGGCAGGATTTCCTGTCTTTTTTAAAAAAATTATATCTCAGCTGTTAGGAATAATGCTGCAATGGACACAGCAGTGCAGTTGTCTCTTTGATAGACTGATTTTACTTATTTTATACACATACCTATAGTGGTTAAGTGATGTTCGGACATGCTGTAAAATATATGCCTACTTCACAAACAATACTTAAACTTTTTTCATTTTTACAAACAATTCTCCAATTAACACCACATTTATCTGGGCTTATATGGTAGAATTTCTGAGGGATGAAATCTTAGAAATGCTAGATGTTGCAATTTTATACATGTAATCACTATCAGAAACTGTCAGAATGCTTTAAAGTGGCTGCATTTATTTACACATACCTACAGAAACTTGTTTTTACATACTTGTGAACCTTTAGTTGAGCTTCTTATATTTTGCTAATCCAGTGAATGTATGATAGTACATTATTATTTATACTATTATTTATATTTTATCAACTACTATTATTTATATTTTATTAGCTACAACTTTTATTTTAATTTATTTTAACATAAAAATTAAAATTGTACATATTACTGGGATAATGTGATGTTTCACTATACATATACATTGTGTAATGTCCAAATCAGTAAAGCATCTCTATCTCCTTATTTATCATTCTTATTCAAAATCATATCTTCTAGTTTTTTTAACTACACAACACATTACCATTATCTATAGTCCTCTCACCTGCAATAGCACACCAGAAATTCTTATTCCTTGATGAACTTTTCCAAATCCTTTCCACCTCCTTACTCTTTCTGGAGTGTGGCATTTACCTTTCTATTCTCAATTTTTATGGGATTAAATATTTTAGATTCTACATATGAGGGTGATACTTATCTTTCTTTGCCTGGTTTACTTCATTTAACTCATAATTTCATTCATGTTGTTACAAATGACAAGATTTCATACTTTTAGGGCTTCACATTTGTTACATTGTACCTGTACCTTGTATTATTTAGCCATTCATTATTGACTCAATTATTTTTATTTGTTATTGAGTTTGTCATGTATTCTATTTATTCATTATTCAATTTTGGTAACATGGTATGTACATAGGAATTTATTCATTCCACCCAGGTTATCAAATTTGATAAAATATAATTGTTTATAATACTTTCTAAAGAGCCTTCATATTTTTGTGGTGTCAGTATAATGTCTTCCTTTTAACTCTGACTTTTATTCAAGTATTCTTTTTATCTTAATGAATCTAAGAGTTTATTAATTTTGTTTATCTTTTTAAAGGACCACCTCTGCATTTTATTAATCTTTTTGTTGCTTGTTTCTATTGCATTATTTCTATGGTGATCTTTATTATTTCTTTCTATGAAATTTGGATTTGGACCTTTCTTATCTTTTTGATTTCTTGAGGTGCAGAGATTGTTGTTTATTAGAAATTGTTCTTCTTTTTTGGTGTAGGCATTGATTGCTTTAAACCTTTCTCTCAGTACTGCTTTTGCTATGTCCCTATAGGTTTTGGTAGGTGTGTTTCCATTTTCATTTATTTCAAAATATTTTTCATTTTGCTTCTTCTTTGGTTGTTCAAAAGTAAGTTGTTTAATTTCCATATATTTGTAGAGTTTTATTTCTAAATGTATTGCATTGTGGTCAAAAGAGACACGACATGATTTTAATTTTTTAATTATGCTGAGACTTGTTTTGTGATGCACCATGATTTATACAAGAGACTGTTCCACGTGCTGTCAAAAGAATATGTATTCTTCAGTAGTTGGATGGAATATTTCACATTTGTTAGACCCATTTGGTCTAAGGTATAATTTAACCCTGCTATTTATTTGTTGATTTTCTGAATGATACGTTCATTGTTGAAGTAAGGTGCTAAAGTTTCCTATTTTTATTGTATTGGAGATCAGAGTTTTCTTTTAGATCTATTAATATTTTTCCTCATATATGTAGGTACTATGTGTATATATAGATATAGACATAGTGATATACTGTGTGTGGGTGTGTTTTATTTTTATTCTTACTGTGTGGGCCCCTTGGTCATCATGCAACTACAGAGTTTGTATTGCCTCACTACTTTTAACTTGAAATCTATTTTATCTGATATAAGTATGTCTACTTCTGCTGTCTTATTTATTTTATTTTTTATTTTTTTTGGTACTGGGGATCACACTCAGGACCTTGGGCTTATAAGGCAGGTCGCAGAGCTGAATCCCCGGCCTTCTTTTGGATTCTATTTACATAGAATATATTATTC